AGCCTTCGGACGCGCCCAGTGACTACCCGTCCCAAGACCCCGTCTACCCGACCGAGGACCCCAGTCCGTCGCCGTCGCCCTCCAACAAGCCGACACTCGGACCTCGCCCCGTCACCGGCGACCTCAAGACGCAGATCATCTACCAGACGTCGGTCATTCGTGCTGCCCACGGCCTTGGCCCCGTCACCTGGAACGACGAGCTCGGCGCCAAGATGCAGGCCTGGGCCGACTCGAACCCGCAGCAGAACGGCGGTGGCCACGGCGGCCCGCCCGGCAACCAGAACCTCGCCAGCTTCCTCGTCTGCAAGAACGACTGCATGGCCAGCGCCGGTCCTGCTTGGAGCTGGTACTCGGGCGAAGAGAAGCTCTGGGACTACAGCACGAACAAGAGCAAGGACGGCAACTGGATGACGACCGGTCACTTTTCCAACTCGATGGACCCGGGCGTCAACGAGATTGCGTGCGGCTACTCGACGTTTTACAACCCAACGATCCAAGCCGATGACTCGCTCGTGTGGTGCAACTACCTCGGCGGCAACGACAAGCCGATTCCGCGACCGCTCATGGACCAAGAGGCGCTCATGAAGAAGCTAGTCTCGGCGTATTGATCGCAGTTTATAGTTCGAAGTTCAAGTAATAGCGTGTGAATGTATTGGATAAAATGCCGCCATCGTAGGTCAAAGATCACGAGGCATTGCATAGTCTTTCAAGAAGCCAATGGGATCGATAGAGGTGCCTCTCGTCTGCCGCCCATGGCTAGCGTTCCACCGAGTCAGAACGGGACGGTATCGGGGTGCTTCACCCACAAGGTTGGTGGCCACCGCTAGCAGAACTTCCGTCTCTGGCTTGAGGCTTTAGTGTGAGGTGGTTTTTGCCCTGGAGCTAACCACTAGGGTTCGGTTTGGCTAACCGGTTTTTCCTCTTTACGAATCCACTGGACACGTGCAGCAACGCATCGCAAGCGCTTTGTATCCACCGTTTCGGCCAATGCCCAAGCGCCAAAACGACGCCCACCAATCAGATCGAGGTATTGGTATGTGGTACCGGTTCCGTATCCGGATTGGTTTCGCGCCACGTTTCTCTATCTCTGTCTCATATGTCGAGTCATTCTGAAACCAGCCATGGTCGCTGCGACTAAAGGCGCGGCGGGCCAAGTCATCAAGGTCCACCCGCAACCGACGACCGAAGCAGTACAACCCGAGACCCCCACCACCATCACGTGCAAGGTCAACGACGTGGCGGTTGCCGAGGTGGCCCCGCGCGACTGCGCGACTGCACTGCATGTCTGCTGCCACGGCCTCGTTTGCGTCATGGCCGGGCAGTACTATGGGTGGAACGCCGCCTTGGCGACCGGGTTCGTGCCCTATGTCGCGTCGCAGCTCGTCATGGGCGTCACGTACGTCATCTACATGTCGTGTGCGGCCGAAATCTGCGGCAAAATTGCCTTCTCGGGTGGCACGTATGGCTTGTCGCGGGTCACCTTGGGGTACTATTGCGGCTACATGGTCGGGTTTCTCGAGCTGCTGGAATATACCGCGTCGACTGCGGTCTCGGTCCTCTTTATCGGCGAGCTCGTCACGGGCGAGCTCGGCTGGGACAAGCGTTGGGAGCCGTTGATTTGGCTCGTTTGCTATGTGTCTTTTGTCGCGTTTTACTCGCTCCCGGGACGCATCATGTGGAACGCCTCGATCGCCTTGGCGCTGTTGTGCTACGCCCCGGCCGTGCTTTACATTTTTGGGACCTTGCAATTCGCCAACCTCGGTCAATTTGGGTATTTGCTAGACCCGGTCGATAATACCACGCATGTCTGGGCCTATGGGGATATTTCAAGTGCGTATTTTGCTTGGCTGCCGTACACAACGTGGGCGTTTGCAGGTATCGAGTGTCTCTCGCTCGTGACCGATATGACGGCGACGCCCAAGACGACGATTCCGCGCGGCATCCTTGGCGCGGTCGCACTTCTCTTCTTCTCCAACGTCGGGATGGTGTGCCTCGTCCCGTCGCTGCCACCAGGGATTGCCGCGGCGACAACGGCCTTGTACCCGCTCAACAACGGTCTTGCAATGGCGTACGGTATCTCCGAGTCGGTGGGTGCGTGGCTGCTCTTCCCCGCGCACATGGGCATGGCGGCAGGCTTCGTCCTTCCGTGTGGTCGACTGATGCAAGCGCTGGCCGACTCGACGCTACTACCGCCGTGGCTCGGGCTCAAGAATCTAGGACATCGCGGACTGACTCGAGCGATGGTTCTCTCGTGCGGCTTTGGCTACCTTTTGTGCATTCTGAGCTATTTTAGCCGCGAATTTTGCAGTGCGCTTCAAAACATGTTTTTACTCGTCGGCTCCATGTGCTATGGCGCACAGCTCGTCGGCTTCATCCTGCTCCGGACCACGTACAAGGCCGAGAGCAACGGGTTCAAAGCACCTTTTGGCTTGAGCGGCGCGATCTTTGCCATCGTCGTCTATGGTCTGCTGGCGCTTTCGATCATAGGTGGGTTTCAAGACGACCATGGCACGGCCGGGTTCGCGGCGCTTGGGTACTGCCTCGTGCTGACGTGGTACTACTACTACGCGTGCAAGGACCGACAAACGATCTCCAAGGACGAATATGCCTCGATCTTCCGGTTTACAATCATCAAATTCAACAATCTCAAACGGAAAGCGGCGCGCGAGGCCAAGCGCAAGCGACATTTCTGGCACAAGATGGCGTCGATGCTACGGTCCGCGTCGAAACAGGGCTCGACCAATCGCGTCAGCTACGTCAACGTCGGCGTGCATCAAGGAGGCCACAAGGCGCCGGCCCATCCCGCGACACGATAGACCAATATATAGAGTAGATATATGCTTGTATGTAGTATATCGTCAAAATCAGATAGAAGAAACAAACTGTGATGCATGGCAACACGAATCGAGGTACACCGCGACAACGTGCGCATTCCCAACGATTGGTAGATAGACGGATGACGCGCGCTCATCATTGCCCAGGTCGTCGGCCTCGAATTGCCTCCCTCCGAACAAACAATGTGGGCCTCTGCGGCGCGGTGCGCTCCTGCCCGTGGCTACGGTTCACTATGGAAAATGCACGCAAGTCTTTTTAAAGGGTCGCGAGAGGTGGCTCGTCCACCGTACAGAGCATTTGCTACCCGGGGTAGGGTAGGGTAGGGTAGAAGATCAAAATGCAAGCATTGAGATTTCTTGGATATATGGGCTGGCTGTCGCGTATCAGTCGCTTGCTATTGGTCAAAATAGGCTAGCGAGGCGTCTTCACTTCAGTACTATCGACAACCGACGGAGGTGACTCCACCTCCGCTGGGAGCCGTGGTTCACACCGACGTTGACGTAGCTCACGCGGTGGCTCGAGCTGAGCGACGACGCCGACTGCAGTAGCGAGACGACCTTGGTCCATTGCGTCGATGTGCGCCGGTTCTGATGTACCATGCGTCGCTTCATGTTGTTGAATTTGATGATTGTCAACCGAAAGATCGAAGCATACTCGTCCTTGGAGACGGTCTGTCGGTCCTTGCACGCATAGTAGTAGTAGTAGTAGTAGGCAGAGGCGGCTACAACATCGGCGAGGCTTGTGGGCGCCGCGACGCCGTCATTGCCTTGGAATCCACCGAGGACCGAGATGGCAAGCATCACAAAGCTCCCAATCGCAAGGCCGACGCTGCGTATGCCAAAGGGCGATCGATACACGTGGCGCTTGGCCTTGTTCGACGTCCAGAGCAAGTAGCCCCAGAGGCAGATGCCCAACGTCGACCACTTGATATTCTTCTCCCATTGGCTATAATTCAACCAATCCAATACGAGAAAACGGACTTGTTGCGCCACGTCATGACATTGGATGGGGCTCGTGCATTATTTTTGAGAAAAGGCAAGGATTTATACATCACGATTGCATTTTCTTTCTCAAATATGTAGACGCAGTCCATCGTCGGAGCGATGTCAATAACCTACGCCGGGGACGCTTGCTCGATGCGCAGCAGTAGGATGCGCAGCTTCTCTTGATCGTCGGGAAGCTCTTCGTCGCACTCATCACAGATCGTGGTTGTCATACTGTGGTGTGTGTCGCAGCAGACGCAGACCAGACCGTCGTCGATCTCGAATCCGTTCTTCTTGGCAACTGAGAGACGCTTCAACAGGACCTTGAGCTTGGACGCAACGGAAGCTAATGGCCCCTTACAGGCCTGGCAGTGCAACTCGAGCAGAGAGTTGGAGGCGCGGCAGAGCTGGCACGCGACGCGGGTGTTTACGAGCCTCGAGTTGGACCACGACGAGTATGTCTACAAGAACGATGACAAATATGAGAGGTTGCACGAAAGTCTTGTCCTTGAGCCCACCGTGGATCCGGTGGACGTCCCAGAAGCGACGGACAATAATGTGGTCGTCGCCGAGGCGCCGCTGAGCGTCGAGCTGGTGCGACTCAGCAGCTTGTTGGCGTCGTCGAGGCTTTCGGGCGTCGAGTGCTACAGACATAACAGTTGGTAGTGACATTCCAGAGCTGTCAAGTTTTAATACCGTCAGACGGATCCCTTGGTTGGAGGGCTCGGTTTCGGGCTCGCTCGCCAGCTCTTCTTTGCTGCGACCAAGCAGTTTCTGGAGCGATCCGACAATCATCTGTGCCGATGGACGCTGCGTCGGATCCAACGACAGACAGGCGTCGGCGAGATGACGCAGCCAAGGCGGACAAGTCGCGCTTACTGTCGGACGGAGGTTGCCGAGACGCACTCGGTCCATGATACCCCAGCGGTTGAGATCCTTGACTTCGTGAAAAGGCAGTTGAAGCGTGTCGAGCTCGGTCAAAATGACGCCAAACGAGTAAATGTCGGCGGCAAAGCTGTACTTGCTGTCCGACGTGAAGACTTCGGGCGCCATCCAGCACCACGTGCCTTTCTCCATAGACATGTTGGACTCATACTCGCGCGCAATACCGAGGTCGGCGAGCTTGATGTAGTTGGTTGAGGAAAGGAGGACGTTCTGGCTCTTGAGGTCGCGATGGAGGAGACCGCTGTGGTGCATATCGGCGAGGGCATTCGCCAGCACCCACGCCACTTCAAGGGACGAGACGTCGACCTTGGTGGGCTCACCAAGTCGCTTCGCGTCGAGGTAGCTGCGCAGGTCGCCGCCGTCCATGTACTCGAGCACAAGCTTGGGACTCGATGTGCTGGCGCCCGAGACCGCGAGCAGCTGCAGCACGTACGGCGATTTGCACCTAGAATCCCACAACGAGATTTGTACAACCGGTAAAGTGAGAGACGATGGACGTACAGCTGCATGGTCTCCATCTCGTAGACCATGGCACCAATGCAGGCGTTGTTGGCAGCCGTCTTGATGGCGACGACTTGGCCGTCGTACATACCTTTAAACACAGCGCCGTATCCGCCAGCACCCAACGGACTCGCAGTGTCCATCTCGATGTCTGTGGCCGCCACCTGCAGAGATACATAGACCTATGTGCATCGTGTCTATAGATGTACGTCAGGAGGGACTGTGTGCGCTGCTAGGTGCAACATTGTGGCGAGGCGTCGCTGGCCTTTTTGAATGGCCAGAATCACCGGCGTGACGCCCGCCTGCGAAAGTATGGCTGTACCGAAGACCATGTATGCAGTATACCGCGTTGCGGACATCCAGCTTGATAGCTGGCGCGCGCAAGAGGACATCCAAGACTTTGTGGTCGTTGCTTTGTACGGCGAGATGCAGGAGCGAGTCGCCTGCCTACGTATAAAGACATGGATCGATCCACTGTTTCAAATTCTGGATAACATACCTCGGTTGTGGCGTTGGGGTCGCCGCCGTCGGTCAACAACGTCCGCACCCGTCCGTACTCGCGCTGGGTCACAGCCTCGACAAGCTCCTACACCGCAGTACCATGAGCATGGACGTATCACGTCCATATCTGGTCGTACGCGGCGCCATTGGTCGGGCGTTGGAGTCTCTAGCGGATGCTATGCGACATGTCGTTGCGGTCGAGCGATGGAGGAGAGTTTTGTCCTCGTACCCATGAGGCACCGCTGGCGTTCGCAGCCGGCATGGGGGCACACTCGACGACGTCATCTTGCAAGGTCTGGCACGACACGGTCACAAACAACCCATATCGCGTTGTCAGAATACCTGCGTCTTGCTTTCAGCCTCTTGCAACATCGCGATGACGTTGTCATGACCATATTCTTCTGCGACCATGAGCGGCGTCTTGCCTTTCTATAAGAAAAAGTAGGTTGGAATCTCTCTCGCAGCACAATGTATGAAGAGAATATGAACGTACGTAGTCTTTGACGTCGATGGCCGCGCCCTTCTGAAGCAAAAAGCGGACGATCTCCAAATGACCAAACAGAGCAGCGTAGTGCAATGGTGTTTGACCATCCTACACCAATAGTCACGTGATAAAACACACGTAGTGCGAGAATGCAAATCACACAACGTACGTCCTCTTTGGCGTCGACGGCCGCGCCCTTCTCAATCAGAAGGCAGACGATCTCCAAATGACCTCCAAAAGCAGCAGAGTGCAATGCTGTCCAACCATACTCCACCAATAGTCACGTGATAAGAACCACGTGCGAGAGGCAAATCACACAACGTACCGGTACCATGTTGTTTTTGGCCTCGATGACAGCGCCCTTCTCAACCAGAAGGCGGACGATCTCCAAGCGACCATAGACAGCAGCGAAGTGCAATGGTGTATAACCACCCTACACCAATGTACATCAATCTCCATGGATCAATCTTTAGAGATCCGACGTACGTAGTCGTTTGTGCAGTTGATGTCGACGCCGTTGTCGAGATAGAATTGGACAGTAGCCAACTTGCCGTCTTCTGCAGCCTTGCAAAGCGCTTTCTATAGCGTCGCATATGCGTCCTTGAGCCTCCATAGTATCGATGGACGTCCGGTACCTCCATCTGCGTCTTGGACGTCATTTTGCAAACTGCCGCACATTTCCCCCTTCTCATTGGCTGCGCTTTTTATCCAATCACATCACAACACCCAAGTCATTTCCGCTACACTCTAGTATGCATCTTGAGCTCTTTCGTTCGTGAATATCTATTTGATACCAGCTTCTTACGAGCACCTTGATGCATGGTATGTTGTACATTGTACATCGTACCACGTGTGAGAAAAGTCGTATTGAAAAGAAGAACATCGTACCACGTGCAATGAGAGTCATACATTTATTGAAAAATCAGCAAAGACTCGACGCGAACGACCGCGGCCGTATCGAGCGCCTTTACATACCGAAAGTGCGCTTCCACCTTGGTCGCGAGCGCCTTGGCTTGCGACGTCAACGCTGGCACTTGCATCGCCGACGCCAAGAGCGTATCCAACAGCGCCATCGGCAGCCATGAGGCCTGGACTGATGAACTGAACTGCCAAACGAGTCGATCGTCAATGGCTCGGTCGCAGGCACAAGCGCATTGGCCGTCGAGAGCGCAACGTCCAGCGCACCGTACTTGAGCAGAAGCGAGAGCAGCTGCGGGCCGTCGGTCGCCACCACACTGTCGCGGAGCCACGTTGGGATCGCAACGCGCAGCTCGAGCGCCGTCTCGATGGCCGCCAGCGACAACGCGGCCGAGTGCATGTGATAAAGCGTGGTTGCCAGCACCGATTCGGGAATTGAACCGGCGACCCACGCACGCGCGACCGCACGGACCACGACCTTCATGTCCAGCTCAAACGCCAGCTCGATCGACCGCAAGGCCGCACGCGGCGGCAACGCAAGGTGTGTCAGCAGTAGCGACACCACCTCGGGCGACCGCAGTGACCCTAGTGCCAGACTGTGCTCGGGCAGCGCGAGCTTGCCGCGGACCAAGAGCAGTTGCTTGTGGACATCCGAGGCCGAGACAACGGTCAGCGCGCAGAGAAAGCGCCAGATGATACCGCCAACAAGTATTCTTGGCCCATCAACTATGGATAAGAATAGGGCTATACGCTTGATTTACAGTTAGATCATCGTCGTGCATCACGAGGTTGCTACTCAAGCGACGTCGGAACCGGGTGCTCAATTCGGGTGCGATGGATGCCCTCACCTCGCACAAGGATGTCGAGAAGCCAAAAGAGAAGTGACTAGGATCTAAATGAATGAGCATGAGAGAAATGAACGACATCAGGACCTCGTTCAAGTGCGTCAAGCGTTTGTGGTCCGCTCGCCGGTGTAGCACGTACGACGAGGCAGCAGCGATACTTCCCTGTCCAGATATTAGCATTGAACACTCTATAGATTTATTTAGTGCTACAGAGTACTATTTACATACTATTGATAGTCGAGCTATGTCCTTTCATACCCTTGCGCGGGCGGCTTGCGCGGGCAGGACACCACAGAGCCAAGCTGCATGACGTTGAAGTGGCGTGTCGCAGATCCGGTGTCACGATTTTCGGCTTTGTCCGATTTAAACAGCCATAAAGTCCTATTTAGGCCATACAACAAGGATACAACCGCATCTCGACATGACCAGTGGCCGATTTGGCGCAGCATGGCCGACGTGGAGATGGACGTCGACGAGAGCAACACGTCGTCGGACGCGGCCGTCGGCGGCGCCATGCGCAGCGGCCTGCGCTCGATGGTCATGCGGCTGCGCCTGCAGAACCCGATCGTCGGTTCGTTTCCGCGGACCGTGCCCGTCAAGGCCGTCGCGTCGGCGTCCGACAACCTCAGGTAGACAGCGGCCGCGACATGGCCGATGACGCTACGATGTAGCTTGCTCATGGACGTGACGGGGTACGTCAAGGAGGCGAAGGAGCAGCTGGACCAGCACCGCTCGCCGCAGGCCAAGGTCGCGACGCTAACGAAATGGGCCATGTGGACATGGGTGCCCAACCTCGTGCGCTCGAGTCTCCTCGGCAGTGCGACGTGGGCGAGCTACGAGCTATCGACAAACGCGCTGACGCCGTCGCAGACGCCGCAGGTGCAGCCATACGCCTCGACATACGACACACGGAGGACCTCATGGGCTGCGTAGAACGTGGTGGCGTGCACCTTTGGCGTCGCGCTTGTTGCAGGCGGCGTCGCCGGTGCGCTGCATGGTTCGCTATGGACAGCGACCGAAGAGCTCTTGATGCGCATCAAGCAGACTGCGGCGTCCGGCTACACCCTGCGGGGCGTGCTGCTCAGCCACACGACGACCCACGTCGCCATGTTTAGCACGTACGAAGGAACCAAAGCGACGTTGCTCGAGTATGTGGTTCCCAGTGAGCACAAGGAAGTACGCCATCTATTTCGTTGTATAGCCCGCGCTAAGGACACACATGCTAGGATCGATCGGCGGTCGACTGAAGCCATGGCCGCCACTGAGCCTCATAAACTTGTAGGTGGTGACCGGCGCATGCATCGTCGCGGCGGCGGCGACATCCGGTCTTGTCGGTGAAGTCGTGACCCACTACATTGCGCCGTTTGAGCAAGCTCCCTTGTATGGACTTGGCAGCACCTCCTGGCGGCGAGCCTGACATCACCATTCATAGCAACGAGGGTCTAAAGGAGGCGGCCGCGCTCGCACGGCCAACGCTGCGGGGGATGGCGCCGTCGGCCTTCTCGACGCTGCTCGGTACACGGAATTGCTTCTCCTCCGGTTGGTAGAGTGAGGGCTCGTGTAGGCTGGCTCGCGTACGAGTTTGCCAAAGACATGGTCGACGACGCCACCGGATGATCGTCATGGCCTCGATCGCGTAGCGTGACCGACGTAGGGGTAGGGTGTCTAGCTAGATACGTACTAGTATATGCATGATAGAGAAGAATACAGGATCTACAAGTGAGTACAGCCAGGAACGCGCTAGAGCCCACCACCGCTTATTCACCGCGTACGCCGTGTACGTTAAGACTCAACCGACCCAACAGGCTGCTACGCACAGTCTTTCCATCGGCTATATGTCCTGGACGCCAGCGAACCCGTCGCGTCAGGGTACTCAGGGTAGAGCACCGTGATGCTACGCGCCGAGGTTGAGAGCGCGACTGCCAAAGCGCCTGTGCACCAAGCACATGAAGCGCCATCAGCGCTGTGACTGCAGCTTAAACAGCGCCTCGGACGCCACAATGGCTGGCACCGATCGAGTTGTGGAAGCTGAACCATGGTGGACCTTGGGATGAGTAGAGAGAGGATCAATCACAATGTACATAGTTCCAGTAGTTCTCGTAGATGCGACGCGAGGCAAGCCAACCGAAGGGTTTGCAAGTTGCACCGACCCGTCCTGTGGCTTCGACGCATGTCATTTAGCATCCGGGCTTGACGTCCATGCCCAGACCTCGCCGCCGTCACCTCGAAAGACTAGCTTTCACTCCAAATGCAACGCACACGATCGACTAAGGCACACGTGTAGTATATATAGTTGTATTTATCCCATCTCAAGTTGGCGAGCGCAACTTGTGGCAAGTGTGTCTACTCCTTGTTCTTCTTCTTCTTCTTCTTCTTCTTGTCCGCCTCAACGACGACTTCTTCCTCCTCGACCTCTTCGACCTCTTCCTTCTTGGCCTTCTTCGACTTCTTGGACGACTTGTCTTCGCTCTTGCGCTTCTTCTCCTTCTTGAGCGGCGCGGCAGCCGCCTGCTTGAGCGCGTCGGCGACGCCCTGCATCACATCGAGGTTCTTGCGCGGCGCCGCGCCCGACTCGTAGAACGCAAGGCGCTCCTCGACCTGCTCCTTCATCTGGTCGCCGTACTTGGTGGTCGGCTCGTCAATGAACGAGTCGATACGCGACGCGATCGCGCACTTGTTGGCGAGGTAGCGCGAGATGCGGCCCTTGTTCTTGGAGGCTGCGCGGCCGATGAAGCTCGAGTGGAAGAGGAGACCGTACTTGGGCGTGTTGCCGCGCGTCTTGAGCGCACGGAAGAGCGCCTTCTCCGCGCCGAGGATCTGGACCGTCGAGGCCGGGCACTTGGCGAGGTTCGTGAGCGAACCAGCATGCGAGATGAGGCGCGCGCCGACCGTCTCCCCGATGAGCGCGGCAAGGTTGGGCGCCACGACGCTCATCTTGGAGACGAGGTAGCCGTGGAGCTGGCGGCGGTACTCGGCGAGCTTGATGAGGCGCGTCGTAAACGCATCGACGTTGATCATGTCGATCTCCGACATGTCCATGCCCATGGACGTGCGGGCAGCGTGGACGATCTGCGTCGCCTTGTCTTCGTCCATCGTGATGGCGGCAAGCGCCTCGATCGAGTCGTCCGAGAGCGTGTTGCGGTTCTTGATGAACGACGCGCAGCGCGCATAGACGTAGTTGTCGTTGACGATCTTGACGAGCTCCGGAAAGTGCCACGAGTACCACTCGCGCACGCGCATCGCAAACGTGTTGACGTCCTTGTCCATCTGGTCGAGGAGCGCGATGGCCTGGATGATCATGTTGTCGGCGCGGTTGACGTTGAACTTGACCTTGGCACGCGAGTACGAGTGGCCAAGACCGAGCTGCGCCTTGGCGAGGTTGCCGTTGTCGAGCTCCTTGATAAACTTGGCAAAGTGGAGGCGCACGCCGCGGAGCACCTCGAGCGACGTCTCGTTCGTGTTGCAAGGGATCTTGAGCGCGTCCGTGAGCGACTGCGCGAGGCCCTTGTCCGTGAGGCCGAGCGTGTACTTGGCCTTCTTGGACGACGTCGGGAGGTTCATCTCCAAAAACGCCTTGAGGTCGTCGGTGACGAGGCCTTCCGAGATCGAGTTGATGTTCTCGAGCGCCGACTCGGCCGACGTGAACGGCGAGAAGGCCTTGAGCTTGACGGCGGCGCCAAACTTGGCGAGGTCCTGGACGCCCTTCTGGACCTGGTCCAAGAGCTGGCCAATCTGCTCGGCTTCAACGACTTCAAAGAGGGCATAGCCCGACGCGGACTCGAAGAGTACGAATTGCTGCGACTAAGATCACAGAGCGATAAGACACCTCTAAGATGCGCGGAGCGTACCATGTTGAGATTGCACTTCAAAACTACCAGTGAAATCTATCGCCGAATGGCCCAAAATGGTTGGCTGGCCACCAGCAAGCTCTCGCCTCCAAACAAACCCGCTGGGTTTTTTAAGTGCGATGCGTACTTGGTCGGGATTACCGCCTCGACGCTCTTATACATGGCATGTGCCATGTATAAGAGCGTCGAGGCGGTGGTCTCGATGGCCTTGCGATGCGCGGCAAGGACGCAGAGAGGGCGGTATCGCATACAAACATGGCGCGGTAGGACGGTGTGTGCGCTACGCGTGTGTGGACGACGACGGCGTGCGCGAAAACGCTCGGGGCGTGGTATCGTGTGGCATATGCCGAATTTAAAATAGAGGACGGCGACAAGATTGCATGGCATTGTACGCGATCAGGCCGACGTCAAGGTCCTCGAAAGAGGATATGTGCAGGATGAAAAGCGTACTGGTGGATAATATAGAGAGAGAAGGCGGTCCGGTGGGTGTAGGAGGCATTGGCGTTCTCGTTGGCAGCGGCCTCGGGCCAAGATTGTGCCTCTCCAGGATCCAAATTCGGCAGCGGACTTTAGCGAATCGCACCTTACCGAGTGACTGGGGCAATTGTTTTTAAATAGAGACTTTTTTATTGCCGCGGCAGTTGGTTATATAGTGTATTTGTATACTTTTGGAGCGTTGAACGGATTAAAAGAAGCGGAATCGTTTAAAAACAGACGCTCGTGGGTTTTGGGGTTTGGCGCCCATTTCAACGCTTCGACGTCATCGCTGACCACTGACAGTTTACGCTCGACAGCTATGGGGCCTCATAACGAACGAGCACAAGCGAGTTGAAGGCTATTCGTAAATAAAGACAATATTGTACACGCAAGGTCTTGGACATTGCTGTGTATCGTACCGTTGAAAGGAGCCGGGATGCTTCAAGCATAGCAAGGACGAAGCTGGCTCTGGCACCCTCAAACAATGTTGCACACATAGCTGTGGATGCACATCTGCAATGATCGCGAAGCAGAACATCCTGCTTGGGAAAGCTTTCAACGGAAGAGATGGACGGCATTCTCGACAATCAGACAATACGTCCAAACAATCAAGGTGACCGTGTCGTAATCTTTCGGATCAAGCATCGTCTGCCATCCAAGCCAGACCCCAGAGTCGGGAGTAGTAAGATGTTGAAATGGCTACATGTTTTCACCCTCGGCGATTGAATCGAGGTCGACGTCGTGGCCCGCCTTGAGCTGCTTGATGATGGCCTTGAGCTTGGCAACCTCCTCACTACGCACGTTCAGCGATCCATTAAGCGGGAAAGGAGGAGTGACCTGTCCGAGTTTTTGTTGGCATTGTTGGTGATGAGCTTGACCCGAGACGCGTACGAGAGACTGGTTTGTGTCTCCTCCTATTCAATCCAGAGAGTGAGCGCCTTGACGTTGGCTGGTCGAGTCAACTTGGTTGTAGTCGGCCGGCGAAATATTGACAAACATGAGCTAAATCAACAAGCATCGCTCCGTGGTGGTCGGCTCGAGTCGAGTGTACCGTCTTGGCGTTGCCACCCAGCGAGTCTTGCATGAGTTGCGTGAGCTAGCAAGTGATAAAAAGATGAAGATTACATCCGATCGCCGCCGTTGGACGTTGGGACTTGTACCTTGTTGTTGCGGTACGGAATGAACTTTTCATTGGTCGACAAGGCCGAAATGACATCGCCAAGAGCTAGCCTCATCGCATGTTTCAATCCTGTCCACGGACCCGCACCTACCGCTGAGGCTCTTGTTGATGGCTTGGGCCTCCTTGAGCCGATCAGCGGTCGCGCCCGTCTTGCCTGCACGCTCCGAGCCCGCGAGATCCACGAGGCTGAGTTTGCCCACCGACGTCTACGTCTTGAAGTCGTATATGGCCGATTTAAGCGGATCCAAAGCACACCTTTTTGGTGGTTTTGTTGTAATTTTCAATCAGAATCGTAAACACCGAGTGCGACCGACTGCTCTCGGCGTTCATTTTGGTCGCGCCGACTTGACGCTTCTTGTTGGCCTCTAGATCATTTTTCAGTCCAGTTTTCAGTCAAACTGAGTCTCTGTACGATCAAACAATTTGAGCGTTTGGTGGGTGTCCGTACACGGCTTGACAACGATGTTTTGTACGACGACCATGCCCTTGTCGTTCTTTTTGATCTCCAGTTTTGGCGCCTAGTCCTCGTCAAAACTTATAACGCAACCCACCAACCTTGTCCGGGTGGTTGTCCAGTTGGAAGAAGAGATCAATGAGGGCATCGTTGTAGAGCTCCAGCATGTACGCTTCATACTTGATGGTATTGTTGCCTACCTCGTCCAATATAGTATATTGAGACATGAGAGGGAGGCTCGACGCACCCTTGAGCGCATCGCCAGACTTGAACATGAGGTCAATGAGGCGTGGTGTGATGCCAGGGTGGTCGGCCGTGCCTAAACCAGACTAAACTAAGGGCCAGCGCGAGCAAGATAACGCAAGTACCCGTCATGGTAAACGTTTTGCCCGAGCCCGTTTGGCCGTAGGCAAAGATGCACACGTTGTAACTAAATGACATTTGAACAATGTCCACAAGGCAATCGGTCAGCACCGACCCGTCGAGCGCCGACTGCAGTAGGTTCTTGGTATCTTCAAACACTTGGTCCTGCATCCAATTGAAGACGAGGCACCATCGCTCGTCGCACCTGTGTGTTGGAGGGATTAAACACTTGGTCGTACGCAAACGACTTGGGACCGCGGGGCGTCTCGAGCTCCAGCGTATACTAGGCCAACACGACATCAACCAACGGGTCGTCGTGCATCGGGTTGTTGTGGGCACCTCGTCGAGAAACTTGACGGCCGAGTGACAGCCGCGGTCGAGTTCCGACCCGCTCATGGGCCGACACCGGCAGTAGACGCGGATCTTGCCCTTCATATCTTCAATGGTGTTGTAGTATTTTTTTCGCAGCGCTTGTTCTTCCTAAACTTGGAGTTAGCCCGTGTTATAACAATCTCATCATTCTTTGTAATTATCTTCGAGTTTGGCAAAGGCGCCTTGGAGCGTCGAGAGCTCCTGGGCGGTTTGGGCCGCCGTAGCCTACAGCGACATGCAGCGCCGCCCAGTGAGATGGAGCGCACCGCGTCCTGGCGCAGCTTCTCGACTTCGCCTTGGACGTTATTGAGCAGCGTCGCTTTGGCGCTCAAATCGGCCACTTGGGCGTTGAGCTACACATGTCGCAGACGACAATGTGGTACATGCAGGCATGTACCTCGTCGATCTTGGCCGTCAGCGATGTCACGTTGGTCGTTGCCGCTTGTAGCTCGTTCCTAGTGGTATAGACTCACACGTGTACTGTGCTAGGTCGTGCGATTGAGTACGTGAGGCTTGCAATGCGCCGCGTCGCTTGCTTCTCGGCCTCGTCCAACGCGGCTTTCGCCTTCTTTTCCGCGTCCTGGAGCTTCTTGTTCAAGAGGCGGCTGTTGACGTCATCGTCCTTGCCGCCTTTGCCTAGCCCTCGATTCAGTCTACCAAGTACGAGTATCAACCTATCGACCTCCCAGCGCGGCGTTCGCGTCGGCTTTGGCGAGTGCGTTCTCGAGTTGGGTGATTTTCACCTTATCGGCCTACAGTAATCTAGAATAACGCAATTGTACATGCCCGCAGGCAAAGCACCTTGAGTTTGGCCTCCATGGCCTTGAGCTTTTGCTTGTACTCGTTGAGTATCTTGGTCGTCCCTACACATTGGAAATGGTTGTGTCCATTTCTTCCTCTAGGATCATGTGGAGATGTGTACCCGCAGGGTTGGGGCTCGGGTCAACCGACGCGGCGGCAGCGTCAGCCTACACCCACCGTGGAGTTCCCACGAGCGCCGTTGACGTACCGTCATCAAGTGGAGACGATCTGTCTTGGACTGCGGTCGGGGCACAGCTACCGCCATGAATCATGACGGTGGCGACATGCGCGCTGCAGCCTACCGATCGGCTCGGCGTCGGCCAGGACGACAAAGGCATCGAGCTGCTTGCGCAGTGCGACCGCCGCCTTTCCGGCCACGAGCGTCTTGGTCTCGGCGATGGTCTGCTTGATGGCGGCAACGCTCTCGGTGCAGGAGCTACCGCCACCATGACGACGAGACGTTGATCACACGGTCGTACAGAGGCAGGTCGCAGTCGACAATGGCCTCACACGCTCGTAGCAACACGTCGTGGCAGAGAACTAGGACCACATAAAACCATGTGCACCATAGTGTCGATGTATAAGTACCTTTGTCGCCCTTGTTCCATGCGGCTTTGCCGCTCTCGATCGCAGCCTTGGTACTGGCGAGACAAGCCGGGAGCGGTGACTAGGGCAAGGGTTGTCCCGTGCACGTTGTTTGGAGTGAGCCACACCTCCTTGGGCTCGTCGAGAGGTGGTACTACGCCGTGTTGGAGACAAAAGCACGTGGTATTCCATGCATACCGGACATTGGTGGCTCGGCGTCGTCCGTCGCAGCTACAGAGAAAGCAAGCTTTATAACAGGTACCAACCACTCGAGCAAACTGGTTGTGTCTGGAGGCGTCGTGTCGTCCACCGCCATGTCGTCAGGAGTCGTGTCGTCTACTGGTACGACGACTTGATGCTACAACAGCCCGTTGCATCCGTGTCACTCTACCGTCGTCGTCTGCACGGCGCGACGCGTCATGGGCGCTCGCTTCCTTGGCTACCGACACGATTTCTCGTACACAGTCACGAAGCAAACACACGTGCCTGTGGCGAGCTCGGTTGCGCGCACCGCGGCGTCGGCTTCGAGCGCGCGAATGCGTTCGTGCAGGGTGTCGACATTGTCTACAGAATCATCGACATCTTTTCCAACATGTCAAAACAATCTATGCACGCACGCTGGAGATCCGCTTGGGCGTGCCGGGCGTCGTCCAGCGCGGCTTGCAACGCCGCTTCCTACACACATCTATATGCACGCGCCTCTCCGAAGACGACGACCTTTGCCTTGGACGCGTCGTGAGCCATCTCCTATCGTCTCCAAGGTATGAGACGCTTCGACCTCGAGCCGAAAGGCTCACCAATGTACGCTGCTCTATGCTCTTCGGTGCTTGCGCAGGGACTGGTTCTGGTTGCACCTACATGGTTGGTCGTCCATCAATGGCCTTCCAAGCACTACTACACCAACCACTGTGGCGTGCACGGTCGAAGCGTTCTCAAAGTCGTCGGGTGTACTCGTTGGTAGTGGCGTTGCAGCCGCCATAGTACCAAGATCGCTGGCCTCGGATGCGTGAAGCTGCGCATTGGCTTGTGCGATTTGGAGCTGCGCGGAGAGCTCGTCGACCCGCTTCTGCAGCGCCGCCATCGTCTCCTACGCATCCCATCCTCGAGCAGATATGAGACATGAAGTCTTACGTTGGTGCGCGGTGGAATGTGCGGCGATGATGCCCGGACCCCACGGTCGACCAGCGCCGGCGTGATGGGCTTGTGCAAAGCAACGTCGAGCCGTCGCTGTGTGTCGTCGAGCGCCGCGCGCAGGTGGGCCACCTACCACATAGCCTGCCGTGTATACTCTTTCGAAGAGACGATTCTTTACCAGTGTGTGGTGGGGAAAGGTCTGCATCGTTTGGCTCGACTGGAGCGTCTCGACTTCGGCCAACTTGGCCGCATAGAGCTGTTTTTGCGCGTTGAGTTGCTACGCAAGGTGGATGAAAACGTGGTTTTCGGGTGTTCTGTCGTACCTCTCGCGACCGGTTGTAGTGCTCTTCGGCTTGCTTGAAGGCAATGTACATGTCTTTGACCTGCGCCTTGTCTTGAATCGATGGTTCGCGGTGGTTGGTCGCTTCAAACTCCGCGAGCCAATCTGCTTGGTTTGAGTTGCATGTTGCAAACGTATTTGGGACCTTTGATGGCTTGCTTGGCTGCGGTTTTCTTGTGGTGCAGGTCCGACGTGGTGGCTAGACACGTAAGAGACAACTTGTACACAACTCCAACGTACTCTTGAGCGCATCGGTCGCGTCTCGAAAGGCCTCCATTTCCAGCTCACACGCAATCAAATGTTCGTACTCGGGCGGGATCTATGCGACACGTGGGATTGATACATTGATACAAAGACGAGAATGGGATAGAACTGTACATGGATCGACGCGGGCGGGCGCAACAGTGCGAGCGATGGCGTTGGCGACAAGCGTGGGGGTTCAGCCGGCGTGACAACGGGCGATCGGCGGGCTCGAGCCATCGTGTCTATGCGATGCCATGAGACAGAAAGGCAGCGCAGACGCTACCTGCGTGTGCACAGGCCGTTTCAAGCACGAGCTGGTCGAGCACGTCACGGACGATCTGCAATTCGCACACGTCGCGCGTGTGCTCGGCGGCTCGGAGCTGGTGCCGCAACGCTTCTTCGCAACGCTGCTCGAAACACGAGATATCGATGCCATCATGCTGCGTTAAAGGCTGTACCTTGGCCGCGACAAGGGCTGTCTGCGCCTCGGAGGCTTCGTTCTGGACGTGGTCGAGGATCGTCTGCGTCTCTTGGCACAGGACCTCTTTGGGCTCGGGCAGAGGCCGCGGCGACGGCGCTGCATCGGTTGCCGTCATTTGATGCACGACGAGTGGTCGATGAAGCAGCGCCACCTGCCAACACAAATCCGACACGGCCTGCGCAACGTGCAGTGCAATCGCCTGGTCCTATGCGATAGAGGATGGAGAGCAGGATCCGGGACGCCTTGTACGGTTTGAGCACTCGCCACTTGGTGCATGTGTTGGTGCTTGGCGGTCGCCGTGACCGTCGTCAACGTCGCGTTGAGCTCCATGCAGCGCGCTGCGTCGTCTTCCGAGCTAGTAGAACAGAGTCTTGATGGAGAAGGGACATGCTTTAAGTAGAAACCGCATGTGCAGCCACCGGTGGGCCTGCTCCAACGTCGCCGTTTTGGCCAACCACAGTTCGCGCAGTCGACTCTGCTCGACCTCATAGGCTACACAAGTGTTGACGATGGAAAGGATCGAAGCGCCGCCCACTGTACGAGTACCTTTTTTGAGCGACCCGAGCTCGAGCGCTTGGTCCAGAAGCAGTGTCTCCCGCTCCGACTGGTACATGGCCAGCATCTGGACTTGTCGGTCGTGCTAGTTCAGACTCTGGAGTGAGAATCCATGGTCCTGAATGGTGGAAGCGTACCATGTCGCGTGCACTCGCCTCGAGACTCTCGATGCGAGCGGTCGCCACTTGACGTTCGGCGTCTATGTACAGTGGATGGAGATGAGTCTGTTTGAATGGAATGTATTACCGGTTTCGAGCCGCAGCTGCGCGTACTGCTGCTTCTGGGTCTGGACGCGCTCGAGCGCTCGCCTAGACTCGATGAGGACGCAGTCGTCGATGGCGTCGGTACCGCTTGATGTCGAGGACAAAGGCTTCGTAGTGCTGCTTGGTCGACGCTTCAATGGCCCTGCGCATGCATATATCTTTAGCAGAAGCGTCGTGGCGGCATGTAGCTACGCGTAGCGATCCATGATAGCTTGAACCTTCTCCTGCTGTCGCGCCTTCATCTCGTGCATGTCGTCGACCACGCGCTGCAGCGACTGCCTGCATCTGCACGTTCACATCCAACGTCACATAGCGGTCGCACCGTGCGAGCTGGACAGGGATGTAGGACTCTTCCTTCTCGCCGGCGCCGACGCGGATGCTGGCGTCCTACGTGGCCGCTCGCATCGATACATCGATAGCCGCGCTTCTACCTGGAACGAAGCCTTCCATGGGTCCGTGGCGACCTTGCCGACTTGGAACGCTGTCGTCTTGGGCGCATCCGGGCTCGGTCGGACCTCTGCCTTCATCCCGCGGTATCTTTCTGCCGATTACAATGCCAAGCGAAATGGTGTCAAAACACGTATGTCAATGTCAAAAAAGGGTGTCATTGCGTGATTCGTCGCAAAAAAGGTGTGCATGACGTGTGCATGACGTGGCGCCCGGAGACAGCACGCAACACATGTGTTGGATTGACGCGATTCCTCGCACGCTTCTCGACGCCAACAAAACTGAAGCGGCGTCAGCGAACGAGGTCGTCGTGCTGGATCATCGACACCGTACGTTCGTTCGGTTCTCAAAGCGGGGCTTCTCAGGAAGACGCAGGCGGCGGGACGTTGGCAGGGTCGTCTTCCTTCCAAGAGCATCGTTGGGTCATGACGATGTAGTGGTGTCTGCAGAATCATCTCCCAAGCGACTACTGATCCACGATGCAGCATGGTCGACGACACCTTTGACAGGCTCGTTGGCTTCATTGACACCTGACGTCAGCGAGAGTAGAGTTGGCCGACGATGCCACATCAAGCGGCGCCAAAGGATGTGGTCGCACTCCAGGATGTGCTAGCGTAGTCCGTTCGATCTACTACTGCATAACCATTCCGTGGGTCTACCCCCTAACCCCGGGCTTAAGTACCGTAGTCCGTTTGATCTGTACTCCTTCTGTGGGTCTATCTTTTGTCGCAGCGCTTGAGTCCCTCTGGATCCAGCAACCACATCGTGTGGCACATCCTTGCAGAGGTGTGGGATATCTCTGCATCGTTCAACCCGCTGTACGGTCATCGTGCAAATGCGTCCGCACGAGTGCGAGTGCGGCTGCTTCCTTGCCGTGGTGTTGGTGATCGTGCTGAGCGTCCTTGTGGCGGATGCCATGACCGAGCCCGACCAGATCCTTCTGCAAACAACAGCGATGCAACAGCGACGCACACGTCGTGCTTTGTACTAGCGATTGCATCGCCGAGCAGCCTGCAGCAAGTTCGCTTCTGCACTCCGTCGTCGTATGTTCAGCACCCGTTCACATTGGCCGCCAAGAAGAAAGCGAGCCTTCTCTGGCTGCGCCTCGACGTGCCCTCCGACGTGTGTTTTGGATCGCTCACGCTCGTCTCCAAGCTCTGTGGCCCGACGCGGGCCTTCCACCTCGATAGCGCCAAGGTTCGAGCCGTCGTTGCGCCAACGAATAGGACGAAATGCAACATTGCGGCCACGGCCGGCGCTGGTGTTGCATTTGGAGTCAACATGTCCATCTTTGTCGACCAAATGTACCTTAGCAACGGGTCGATGACCGGCCTCTCGATCCTTCCCACGCCACCAAGCTCGTAGTGTGTCGACGACATGCCAATGTTAGACCCATTCGACGAGATAATAAAATCTATCTACATTGCATCTATCTATCTATCTATCTATCTATCTATCTATCTATCTATCTATCTATCTATCTATCTATCTATCTATCCACATTTCTGTCTAACCCGTACACAACTATTCCTGTGACTTCCTACTCAAATCTCTGACACTCCTTCCGTTTCCGTTCCACCGAAATACCATACAATACACACGTCACAACTCATTGAGATGGATTTCAACGCATTATTCGACAGCAGGCGACGACTGACTGTACATGCAAGCCGGCACAAGACGCGCTTACGGGCACCACACAAACGACGAGAACTTGAGGCAGTCCTCCTTGCCGTAGTTGACCACTTGGTGCGTGATCGGCCAAAAGCACACATTGCGGTTGCCCTCGCACTTGTCGCTGGGCAACGCCGTCGTCGGTGTCGGGGCCGTCGTCGTCGGTGTCGGGGCCGTCGTCGGTGTCGGGTTGGTTGTCACGGGCGACGGGTTGGTGGTCACCGGCGTCGGGGTGGTCGTGACGGGACTCGCGCTCGTCGGCGCCGGCGTCGATCCGTTGCGAATGTTGTCGTATTTGGACGTCGGGTACTTGAGGTTGTTGGGCGAGAACGCCATGTTGTCCTTCCCGAGCGTGTTGTACACTTGCGTGATGAGCGACCGCGGCGTCCCAGCTTTGGCGTCGGCGTCGCCCGACCAAAACATGGTGCCGCCGAGGTTGTACTTTTTAATGTACTCGAGCTTGGCCGCGAGGCTCGTCGGCGACTCGTACGACGTAAAGACCTTGCGGTTGGCGTCGTAGCTGTACGCAGCGCCAAGCTTTTCGTCGTAAAACTCAATCGCGCCGGGCTGCGGCAGCGCCTTGTAGTCCCACACGCCCTTGCCGTCGCTGCCCGAGACCCACGAGCCGGCCGTCGGCGGCGTGAAGTTGCCGTAGAGACCCGATGTGCCTTCGAACGACCGACCGTAGGCCGGAATACCCATGACGATCTTGTTGCTCGGGCATCCGCCCTTGATGTAGTCTTGGATCGCGCCGTGGGCCGAGTACTTGGCGCCCGGCGGGTGGTTCGGGTCCTCAAACAAGTTGGCTTGGTGGTCTGTGTACGTGCTCCAGCTACCCGCGAGGTCGTACGTCATGATGTTGATAAAGTCGAGCTGGTCGCAGACCGCCTTGAAGTCCCAGTGGCGGTAGTTGGCCGGACCCGCCGGCGACGCGACGCTCAGCTCGGCCTTGAACGGCAGCTTGGCGAGCTCGGTCCGGATCGCCGTCAGAAGTGCCACAAAGTTCTGCATGTCGTCCGGACGGTGCGGCACGGGCGGCGAGTCGTTCCCGCCCTCGACAGGGTACTCCCAGGTCAATGTCGATAAAGTCGAGGCCGAGGT